GTTTAGGTTTAGGGTTTAGGGTGTAGTTCAGGGCTGAGGGCTTAGGGCTGGTATAGGGGCCTTGTAAACAAATAATTTGTTGTGCTGTTTGGTCTTGGGGAGAGGGGGATAAGTCCACAAAGAACACGAAGGAATAGAACAGAATAGAATGCTGTTCCATTCGGCTAAGGTTATGAGTTGTAAATATTGATTGCACGGTTTCTACTAGTAGCATGGTTTGGGGGATTTTTGGGTGTTGGCTCGTCAACAGTCTAGGGACCATAATCATCAACACAGGGTCGAGGGCCTTTGAATCACCTGATTGTCAAGTCGGGTTGAGGGTTTAGGGGAGTAGGCCGAACCTAGAAGCGCAATGTTTGTTGATCTGTTCATCTACTTGCAATGTTATGCCATGCTTGTGTTTCCCAAATTCACTTCTGTCTATCCTTCTGAGTATAGTCTGGTCTTGGCAACTGTTGGTCTGTTGGTTGCATCCTTTTCTGCTCCAGCGCGCGAAGGCGCGATGTCACTGGTCATGGTGGTCCACAGTAGCCCGGCCCGCCCTGCAAGTCAAGCGGGTAGGAGTCCATGAGGAAGCGGACAAGCCCAGCAACATGGTACCTTGGAGTTCGGGTTTAGCTTAGGGCCTATGGTGACGTGGCTTTAGGATTCACGGTTTTTGTTGGGGGGGCTTCAGCAATTGGGACTTAGATTTGGGGGCGTCAGCGATTGGGACTCAGGGTTTGGGCAGTCAGCATTGCTATCATTACGGCTGTTCTCATTAGTTTCTTTCAAGGCACGTGAGTACCGCCGCATCGTCGTCGCCCCCAAACAGACCATTGGCCAATTTTGCCTCGTCAGCGGACAGGCTCTGCCGGACTCGCTCGTAGCGCGGCTGCACAAGACGCGCCAGGTCCTGTCAGCAGAAACTTTGAAACTACTCTACCAAGTTATCTCTGAAAGCCCTGAACCCTAAACCCTAAATCCCAAACCCTATAAACCCTAAATCCTGACCTAAACCCTAAATCCTAAACCCTATAAACCCTAAACCCCTAAACCGCATCTACTGCGTTCGTCTTTGGCATCCTTGAGGAGTGCTTCTAGCTCCATACTGCTGGTACATACGGAGGCTTTTGGAATGTTAGAGTGCGTAAAAAGCAACAAGGACTCAGCCATGATCCTAAATCCTCAACCCCGTTGTAAACCAAACCCTACCTAAACGCGATTATGTGTAAACCAGTGCAAACCCTCAGCCCTAACTCATCCCCCAAGACCCTTCTCCTGCCTCGGGCACCGTGAGCCAGACGCCCAGGGCGTCGTCTTTGGGCGCTGCGGCTGCCTCCTGGCGCTCGTCGTACTGGGGATCTATCACCTGACTCTCAGGCGGGGGCTGAGGGGCTGTAGGGGGCTTTAGGGGTTTAGGGTTTTAGGGGGGTTTAGGGGGGTTTTAGGGGGGTTTAGGGGGCTTTAGGGGTTTCGGGTTTAGGGGTGTAGGGGTTTAGATTCTAGGGGATAAGGGCTTGAGACTTTGAGGTGTAGCGCTCAGGACTGTGGCTTGAAGGTGGGGGGACCACTTTCAACGGATAAGGGCTTTAAGTGGATCAGGGGGCTTAGTCGGACAAAAAACAATACATGTTCTAAGTACCTGCTTCTACAACCCTACACTTACCCATAGGCCCGGCCCCTAAGTAGCTCCTTTCTGTGGTTGATATGTAGAATCCGAAAAGGTAATCCCAAAAAGGAACTACTTAGGGGCCTATGGGTACACACGGTTTAGGGTTTTAGGGGTTTCAGGCGTTCATCGCCGTAGGAGATATGGCTCCCACCTGGCGCCAATCTGGCACCCAAGCCTTCATCGGAGACTCCGGCCGACGTTCATCCTTGGGATTCTAGGGTTTGTTGGATGCTTCTTTTCTTAGTTTAGGGTTTAGGGTTCAGGGTTTAGGGTTTAGGGTTTGGGGGGCAGGGTTTAGGGCTGTAGGTTGAAAGCTTACATCACGTCTAGAGACTTGGCAATGAGGCTTCTACGTAGGCTTCAGGATGCATTAAAGCCTAAACCATCTTAAACCCAAATTCCTCCACCTTACCCCAAACCCTAAACACCTAAACCCTAAACCCCAAACTCTAAACCCATAAACCCTAAACCCCTAAACCCCTAAACCCCTAAACACCTAAACTAAACCCTAAACCCCCAAACCCCTAGACCCCTGAACCCTAAACCCCTAAACCCTTTAACTCCTACACTCTGAACCCCTAAACCTCTAAACCCTAAAACCTTAAAACCCCCAAACCCCTAAACACCTAATTAAACCCCCAAAAAACCCCTAAACCCCTAAACTCCTAAACCCTAATTAAAGCCCCAAACCCTAAAACCCGGAAAAGGCGCCAGGTACGGACCGAAATCGCCCAGCTCCACCACCGACGCCGGGAGCTCCCCGAAACCGCGAAGTTGCTGCAGCGCCTGGCTCTTGAAGGGGTTTAGGGTGTAGGGGTTTAGGGTTTGGGGGTTCAGGGGTTTAGGGGTTTAAGGGTTTAGGGTTTAAGGTTTAGGGTTTAAGGTTTAGGGTTTAAGGTTCTGGGTTTAGGGTGGTTGTTTGGTGTTTAGCATTGTTGGTAAAGGTGTTTTTATAGGGTTTAGGGCTTGGGGTCTAAGGTCTCGGGGTTTGGGGGTAGGGTTTGGGGCTTCGAGTTTAGATTTTTCCCAAAGCATAACTTCTAGTATAACTATAGACTACGGAACCCTAAGGAATAGTATTGCTTCTTGTCCCGGCACCTATACTAGGTCTCGGATTGGGTGATGATGTGTGTGGTTCGGCTGGTGTAGAGATTTGGGGTTTAGGGCTTTCTGGAGCTTAAAGGGCTTTGTGATGTTGTTTGGTGCATTTGGGCTTATGATTGCCTCAACTCTGAACCCTAAAACCCTAAACCCCAAACCCTAAACCCCCAAACCCTACACCCCAAACCCTAAAGCCCTAGACCCTAAACCCCAAACTCTAAACCCCTAAACCCAAAACCCTAAACCCAAAACCCCCCGGGGGGGGGGGGTTCGGGTCCAGGGGTCTCGTCTGAAGGCCTCGGCATCCACGCAGACGACCACGTCGTAGAAGCTCAAGTCAGAAGTTTTCAATATCTCCTGCTTGGAGGGTCAGGGGACTTAGTGTTTATGGGGTTATAGAAGGGGTTGTAGGGTTTGGGGTAGGATTTAGGTTTTAGGGTTTTGGGTTTCTGGCTGATCCAGGTACTTGGGGTTTGAGGTTTAACCAGCGAGGATACTTATAGCCTTACTTGTTATAGCCCTGATGCTCCAAGGATGTTCGGGGACGTTTCCGATTCTTCTTCTGTTTGGAAATTGGAAAGTACTCGGATCTGGCGGCAGTACTGTTTCAGAGCAGCACAAAACCTTCTCCAACCCCGCCCCTGCCCCTGCTCCTGCCCTTGCCCTTGCCCTTGCCCTTGCCCTTGCCCTTGCCCTTGCCCCTGCCTGCCCTGGCCTGCCCCAAAGCCTGTCCTAGACATTCTTTCTCTCTGGACCCTCTTGGATAATCTAGGGGTCGGAATGATTAGGAATAAAGACCTCTTATAATCCCTTCCTTTATATCATCCTCTACCCGAGAAACTTATATTCTAATGATTAAAGCTCCTCTCTTGGCCTTTCCCGCTTTCCTCCACATCCCGGGAGGTCCAGCGAGGTGCCAGCTTCAGTTTTTCTGCGGCGGTGTCCGACACATATCCGGCACTTCCTTGTTCCGGCGTGTGGGGTTTAAGCTTCGGGGTGCAAGGATTCGGTCCAAGCCCTAAGGAAGTCTAGAACCCTCTGTAGAACTGTTGCAGCAAGCTTGTCGAAGAATGGCTTTAGGGCTTCTGAGCACCGGGGTTCCGAACGGGCAAGAAGAAACGACCCGTACGGAAGACAGTCCCAACAACCCTTTCCTACTGTTTTTTCTGCACAACTAGATCAAAACAGCACCGGTTTTGAGAGTCGAGTTTGGGCTTTGATAGGCTCTTGATTTGCAAGTTTTCCGGGGTGGTGAAGATTCATCAGGATTTACAGGTTGTCGGGGTTGGGGTGTAGGGCTTAGGGTTACATTTTTCTTGTGGGTTACGTTGACTTTCTGATAGAATCAACCCCCTCGGTTGTGGGCTCAGGGTTCAACTCTTCTGGATCTTCGGAGTTCTGGGACTGAAACCCCTGCCTCAACCACGAAAGACCTACCGCTTCAAGGACCCATCTCAGGAAGTCATCATAGGAGATCCTCAGGAACCCGAAGAAGGGAGGCTCTGGGGGTTTAAGGTAAGCTCTATTCTAACCCAAGAGTTCCGGTGTGATGAGGCTGGTGGAACCCCCGTAGTTCGCATCATGCAACTTCATCCAGCGAAAGGTGGCGGGCTTCGGAAGACGAGGGGGTCCGCGATATGTACTACATTTACGGGTCCTGCTCATGTGTTACATACCGTGTTGCGTTGCGGGTTCCTTGTTTGCTGGACTCCTGCGCCTTGTCTTTGTCATGAGACGGATGCAGCTTTACGAACATGCCGCACAGAGCGGGAACCCTCAAAACCCCAAACTCCTAAACCCAAAGCCCCTAAACCCTGAACCCCTAAACCCTAAACCCTAAAAACCCTAAAACCCTAAACCCTAAACCCTCATGCACCCTCCAGCAAACTCTTGGCTCAACCAAAATCGCACCGAGGAGCCGCCGGTGGTCGCGGCCTCCACTGGGAGTGCCCCGGCGCAGCTATGCTCCTAGCTGCCCCAAGCCCTGAACCCTAAACCCTAAACCCTGAACCCTAAAACTTTAACCCTAAACCCCAACCCTAAACCCTAAACCCTAAACCCTAGGCCCTAAACCCTGAACCCTAGACCCTAAACCCTGAACCCTAGACCCTAAACTCTAAACCCTCAACCCCATACCCTAAAACCCTAAAACCCTGCTTCTCAAACCCTCAGCCCCGAACCCAAAAGACTCCGAGCCCGGTCTTCAGCCCAACCGGGGGGGTTCTTGTTGGGGGTTCAGGCTTTAGGGGTTTAGGGTTTAGGGTTTAGGGGTTTAGCGGTTCAGGGTTCAAGGTTCAGGGGTTTAGGGTTTGACTGGGTTCTTGTTGGGGGATTTCCCAGCGAGCCCAATGTAGCCCTTAATGAAGGAATATGCCTTAAATCAGAATATTAAGGACCCTATAATCCTGAATTAAGGGTGTTGGGCTCTCTGGGTTTATATAAGTTAGCATAATAAGGAAACCATATGGGGTTTGGGGTTTAGGGTTTACTGGGCTCTTCTTAAGCTTTAATTTTAAGCTACTATAATAAAGAAACCATATTATTTACTATAGATCCCTATTATATGGTAACTTAAAGAAAACTTCTTAACAAGAACCCAGTGCAGTAGCCGCAGTACAGATCTGTGTGTTCCTTCGAGGCAGTGAGGAGCTTGGTTGATCAAGGCCGGTTTAGGATGAAAGTTTAGGGTTTAGGGTTTTAGGGTTTAGGGTCTAGGTTGAAAGTTTGAGGTTTAGGGTTTAGGGTCTCAGCTGAACTCAGCTTGCGCCAGAAACCCTCAAGAACAAACCGAAAACTCGCATAGCATGTAGGGCTTCAGCTACCGGGAAACCTCGACATCGTACGAACTCGGTAAACCGATATCAACACACAAGAAGGAACAGGGCTCGGGGTCCTAGCAGGCCTATACTTCGAGGATCAGGAGGTCGGGTGAAGGTCGGCAAGTTTTACTTTCTGTCGTATAGTGGGTATAATCTCCAAGTAGGGCATATGTAACACCCAACCCTAAACCCTATAACCCTTATAAGCCCGAAGCCCTAGACCTCATGAACCCTAAACTGCAACTCCTATAAACCCCCGAACATTATGTGAGTCCCCATGCCAGAGCCCTTCAAAGCACCTGCGCCGATACGTGGGTCCTGGGCGATGCGCTCGAAAAGACCGGCAGCTACACGCGACCGGCCGCTGCCGTCACCCTCCAGAAACACCACCTGACATCTAGGTTAGGGTTTCAGGTGTATAGGGTTTAGGTTTAGGGCTTAGCGTTTAGATCGGCTGAGCCCGACAAATGACGACAACGGCGGTGACGATGATGATGAGGACGATGGCAGTCTTGTTGTATCAAGTTCTCAATGCGGGCTGCAGTCAATAACAGTTAACAAGGCTGTACTGCGAAGAGAGACATAGCACTCCCTGTACGGACCTGCCATTGTTACATTGTTAACGTTCATACTGCCACATAACAGACCGGTGTCCTGTGGCGTCTGCTAGCAATGTTTACAGAGGTTCATGTACACATCGGTGAGGAGACGGACATTACGACGTTTTCGAGGTTGGGGCATAAGGTTGAGGAGTTCGCATGTTTGAAGTCAGGCAGGTCAGGATGGAGGAGGGAATTCAACGTCTATATGAACTTACTTCCACAAGCCTAAAAAAACTGCCCGCCAGCCTAAACCTAATCCCTGCTCAACCCTAACTAGCCTACATCAGCCAACACTAATCTACCCTAAACGCTAAATCCTCCCCCAAATCACTCGAGTTATCCGAAGCTCGGGCTCGACGCTTCACACGCATTCATGACAAGAAGGCTCATGTGACACTGTTGATGATGTACATCCTGCGGTACCTTAAGGATATTCTATTCCTTATTCTGGGTAATGCAGGATTTATATCATCAACCGTAGTCTTCCACCTCCATACTAGGGCATAAACCAGAGTCAAAACCTGCAACCTGAACCGATCCAAAACCAGAAACCTACGAAGCCTGAAGCCCTTGAGCCCATGACGCCCAAAGCAGGTCCCATTAGCTTTAGGTGTTCGGGGAAAGGCCCGAAACTCTACAACCCTGAACCCTGAAACCTAAACCCTAAAACCCTAAACCCTAAACCCTAAAACCCTAAACCCAAAACCCCAAACCCTTATAAACCCTTATCAACCCTTATAAACCCTAAACAAACCCTTATAAACCCTAAACCCAAAACCCTAAACCCTTATAGGCCCGTATACACCCTTATAAAGCTTATAAACCCTAAAGCCCTAACCCCTATTTGCCCCCTAAGCCCCTCATTGCCAGGGCCGCCTGGAGGTGGTAGCGCGTCCAATCCAGATCCTCCTTCAGGGAGGCCCACCTTGGGTGCTTAGGGCTTATAGGGCTTTAGGGTTCTTTTGGGGTTTTACTTAGGGCTTATAGGGCTTTAGGGTTCTTTTGGGGTTTTACTTAGGGCTTGTAGGGCTTTAGGGTTCTTTTGGGGTTTTAGGGTGTTTTAGGTTTGTTAGGGGTTTTAGGGTGCTGAGGGCTTACCTTAAGCTACCCTAACCTACTTTTTTCTAGGTTCTTATTATAAACCCTAACATAGAATTTATAGGGACCCTACAAAAAAAGTAGGTTTTGGTAGTTTGAGGTAGGGCTTTAGTGCTTTAGGGTTTTTTGGCGGGGTTTTAGGGCTTATAGGGATTAAGGGTTTTAGGGGTTTAAGGTTTTAGGGGTTTTGGGGTTTAGGGTTTAGGGCTTTAGGGCTTTAGGGTTTTAGGGCTTTAGTGTTTAGGGGTTTTGGGTTTAGGGGTTTAGGGGTTTGGGGGTTTGGGGGTTTAGGGTTTAGGGTTTAAGGTTATGGGTAGTTCTCCAAATTAGGGTCCCTTTTAGGGTCCTTTGCAATGAGGGTGCCGTTCTTTTATTGGGGGCCACACAAAGGGGACCCTAATTTAGAGAACTACCCATATGGATTTAGGGCTCAGGGCTTAGGGCTTGGAGTGTGAGGTTCCTAGAAGGACTCTTTTTGGGGATCGGTTAAGGGATCCTACACAAGGGTTCCTAAAAGGGCTGGTATAGGGGATCTAGATGGGCTTCCTAAAGGGTTCCCACAAGGGTTCCTAAAGGGATCCTGCGTGGCTTCTTTTAGGGATCCTTTAAGGGTTGCTTTTCAAGGTACTTTACGGGTTCCTTTTAGGGATACTATAAGGATGCTATAAGGGTTTCGGGTTTGGGGGGTAGGCTTTGGGGTTAGGGTTCGGCGTTTACTTGAGGTTTGAGGTTTCGGTGTCTAGGATTTGTGGGCTTAGGGTTTGGGGTTGAGGGTTTGGGTTTGAGAGGTTTGGGGAAAGTTTGGGGTTATGCTTTAGGGCTTATCGTTGCCGCTTTAAGGTCCGGGGGTTCAGTGTAGGCTCTCGTGGACCCTGGAAAATCTACCTTTTTAAAAGGCTCCTTATTGTGCTTTGCTGAAATAAGTTGTAAGCTCTTGGAAAGGCCTGAAGGCCCCGAACCACCCACACTCACGCGGCTCTCTTTTCACTGGACCTCACCCCTCGTGTTGCGAACGACGTAGCGAAACTGGCAGTTCTTCGTCGGCCTGGTGGCCCTGTTTAGGGTTTAGGGCTTCAGAATTATACTGGTACGCCGTGCCGTATGTGAGCAAGCCTGAAGGCATCTGCGCGTGTAGTCAATATGAAAGTTTGTTGCGAACCCCTTAAAGCCCATAGAAGCACATGCACAACCCTTCCAGCATCCTTGTTACAGCCCGTAAAACTTAACAGACTTAACACTTAACAAAAAAAACATTTGAAATCCCAAAGCAGGCACTTGCCCCGATCGCGCAAAGGCCGGAATCCGAAAACCCTAAACTCAAAATACCAAATTCCTAAACCCCCCAACCCCAAAGCCTAAAGCCTTAGCCTAATCCCCAAATTCTAAACACCAACATGCCTATTCGCCTCGGCCCCGGCCGAAGCGGTCAGAGGTTCCTATTCGGA